TGTAAAGCCATTCTGATTATTGATACTTGATATCATTTATTTTTTCTCTGTTTCAGCTTATAAGATTTTATCCCCTTTATGGTGCTCTGACATATCCCCATATGAGATCATTGTCACCAGTATTTCTGGGTGCGTGATAGGAAATAAATCTTCACAGGGATAGTTTACCCACCTCCATGCAAAGCCAAGATGCTATAGGGCCAGAGAGCTGCATTGCATATCCAAGTGGCATGCTAGGCCTTTTTTGTTAAGCCCCTTTCACTTGGCCTGTGGGCAAGTCCAGTTTGACTCACTAAAAATAGGCACATCATACCAGAAAATTATCAGCCTCTACTGTTCGGGCATCCAGACTCCCAGAATCAAAACAGGTGTTCAGTGCCCTAGGCAGGCAAAGCCATCATATCAACATAGAAAATATTCCACAAGCCAAGTTCCCAGTCTTTACCTAGGAGGGAGCTGTGTGAGCAGGCACTTCTAAAGATCAGTTCTGCTGTGTTAACACTTTCCTACATGTTACCTTTACTGGTGCTCTTTATTTCTTTGTGTGGATTTGAGTTACCAGAGTGTCCTTTATTTTCTTGGAGCTGAGCTTCAAGTTAGATCAAATAGCAGCAGCAGTCTGGGGATAGGGCTTTTGGTAGAGCTCCAAAACAGGTCATCCCCTTGGGTAGCTGTTAGGCTGCCAGTTTTCTTGGAGCTGGGGAGCCAGTGGAAGAGCGTGAAGAGTAGTAGTAGTGCCAAGTGAACCATCACCTGGCTGTTCTTAGTGAGGTTTACTAATTTTTCTTGTTTTTTTTTTTTTCTTCTTTTTTTTTTGTTGTTTGTTTCATTGTTTTTTGTTTTTTGTTTTTTGTTTTTTGTTTTTTTTTTTTTTTGAGATGGAGTTTTGCTCTTGTCACCCAGGCTGGAGTGCAATGGGGCAATTTCGGCTCACTGCAACTTCTGTGTCCCAGGTTCAAGCAGTTCTCCTGCCTCAGCCTCCCAAGTAGCTGGGATTACAGGTGCCCGCCATCATGCTCTGCTGATTTTTGTATTTTTAGTAGAGATAGGGTTTCACCATGTTGGCCAGGCTGATCCTGAACACCTGACCTCATGTGATCCACCTGCCTCAGCCTCCTAAAGTGCTGGGATTACAGACGTGAGCCACCGTGTCCAGCCTAGTTTTTCTTGAATAAATTATTTTTAATTGCTTGTCTGCCTTTGATTAATTTCTAAAGTCCTGAAATGATTGATTTTGATAATTTTTTATTTTGCCAGTATTTTCATTACTTTTTTGGGGGAGAGGATTTACCAAGGTCTTTCCTCTCACTCGGTCATTTCAGAAGTCCAGCCTAAAAGCCTTCTTTTAAAACTGCAAAAAAGCACAGAAAATCGTAATTATTACAAACACCCTCGTACTTCCTTCCCAGAATTAGCAAATGCTAACATTTTGTCATTTTTTTAAATAAAAGAAACAGAGGTTTACAAATAAAGTTGAAGTCCCATTTTTCCCCTCCTGAGTCCTATTCCTCTTATCTCCTCCTCAGGTAAACAGTATAATGAATTTTGTGAGTATCCTTTTAATCTATGTTTTTATACTTTTGCTACATATATTTGTGCCTGTAATCAATATAGAATTCTTCTTGTAAAATTACCAAATTAGTACACGCAAATTATAGGGATCTTGGCCAGGCATGGTGGCTCACGCCTGTAATCCTAGCACTTTGGGAGGCCAAGTTGGGTGGATCACCTGAGGTTAGGTGTTTGAGACAAGCTGGCCAATGTGGTGAAACCCTGTCTCTACTAAAGATATAAAAATTAGCAGGGCGTGGTGGTTAATGCCTGTAATCCCAGCTACTCAGGAGGCTGAGGCAGGAGAATTGTTTGAACATGGGAGATGGAGGTTGCAGTGAGACAAGAGTGCACCACTGCACTCCAACCTGGGCTAAAGCACAAGACTCCATCTCAAAAAAAAAAAAAAAAAAAAAAAAAAAAGGGCTGGGCACAGTGGCTCACACCTGTAATCCCAGCACTTTAGGAGGCTGAGGCAGATGGACCATGAGGTCAGGAGTTCAAGACCAGCCTGGCCAGGATGGTGAAATCCCATCTCTACTAAAAATACGAAAATTAGGTGCGGTGGTGGGTGCCTATAATCCCAGCTACTTCGGAGGCTGAGCTAGGAGAATCACTTGAACCTGGGAGGCGGAGGTTGCAGTGAGCTGAGATCATGCCACTGCACTCTAGCCTAGGGAACAGAGCAAGACTCCACCTCAAAAAAAAAAAATAAAAATTAAAATAATAGAGATCTTTCTGCAACTTGCTTTCTGTGTTCAGTATTACCTTTTGAGCTTTGTCTATGCTGATACGTTAGATTTAGGTCATTTATTTTAACTGTTGCAGTAGCATTCCAACATATGAGTGTCATCGTTCATTTACCATACTTCTATTGGTGGATATTTGGTAATTTCTAATATTTTGTTGCCATTCTTGTACATGTTAAAATTTGCCCTGATTTCTCTGTGGTATAAGTGGAATAGGTAGTAAGGGGTGTGTGTGTGTGTGTGTGTGTGTGTGTGTGTGTGTGTATGCATGCACATGTGTTTATTGTTTTTGAGACAAGGTCTTACTTTGTTACCTAGGCTAGAGTGCAGTGTTGTGTACATGGCTCACTGCAACCCTAACCTCCTAGGCTCAAGCAGTCCTCCTGCCTCAGTCCCTGAAGTAGCTGGGACTGTAGGTGTGTGCCACCACGCCTGGCTAATTTTTTGTATTATTTTGTGGAGATGGGGTTTTGCCATGTTGCCCAGGCTGTATATTTTCAATATTACTAGATGTATTACCTCTTATCTGTCACAAGTGGAATCAATTTGCCATGTATAAGAGTTTCACAGCCATGTAAGTGAAAATTGCTTTATAATATTCTCGTGTTTTATCCTTCTTTGCTTTTGGCATCAAGGTCATATAGGCTTTCTCTTGCCGATTTTATTTTGGTTACTAAGTGCCAGGTATAGCTTTTCCCATAATTTTATTTTCAAATTTCTCTCTCATTTTGCCCTAATTGTCTTTTCAAAACATGGAGCTGATTTTTCTAAAATGCAATTTAATATGGCTGGCATTTAACTAATATGGTTAATATATATTTTTTGTGAAATTGCTATATTTGTATTTCTTCTTTTAGTGTATTTCCTACATAGCCTGCTTTTTCACTATCTCTTTTTACCTGCCTTTGCTGGATTTTCTTTACCCCCAGTCTTTTTCCCCTTTAGTCATTATCCTTCTGAATAACTGAAGTATCAAGCATTTTTCTTAGCCAGGTTTTGTGTATGGCAAAATCTTTGTCTTTTCTTGTCCAAAAATGTCTTTATTTTGTCATCTTTCTTTATGATAATTTATCTAGGTATAGAGTTCTAAGATGAAAGCTTGTCTCAGGACATTGAAGATACTGTTCTTTAATCGTCTAGCTTTTTTGAAGAAGTCTGGTATTGATATAATTATTTCTTTATGGGGATATTTTTATTTATTCATTGTAGTTTACAATATTTTCTTTCTGACTTGAAAGTCTTGTGGTTGCACTGAACTTTGTCTAAGTGCAGACTTGCTTTTATATAGGGGATATTTTTATTCATGGTACCTTACAATATTTTCTTTCTGACTTGAAAGTCTTGTGGTTATTCTGAACCTTGTCTAAGTGCAGACTTGCTTTTATTTACCATACTCAAGGACTTTGGACATTCAGTGGTAGGATACATGCCTTTCTTCCATTTGAGAAAAGAATCGGTTTTTGTCTCTTTAAATATTGCTTAGATAAAGGTCCCCAAGACCGCTCCCATACTCATATATTCTCTAGAGAAACTCATGGGACTCAGCATATAGTTGTAATCATGGGTAAGATTTATTACAGTGATGTAATGATAAACAATTGGATTATAATGGAAAAGGGCACAGACAGAATCTGGAGGCATCCATGTGCAGACTTCCTTATGCTGTCTGCCTATCATGAACACAGAGCACACTCTAACTCCAGTATCAAAGATGCACCAACATATGTGATGTTTATGCCAAGGGAAGCCTATTAGATGACTCAGTGATTTCCCAAGATCTGTCATCTAATTTATTAAATCTGTCTTATCTGTGGCTAGTCTACTGTTCAGCCTATTTAGAATTTTGTTGTTTTTTTTTAATAATGCCTACTTTAAAAATACTCATCTGTCTTTTTTCAAAATTTCCTGCTATTTCCTTCGTAGTCTAGTTCTTATCTTTGTACATTTGAAATATACTTATTTTAAAACCCACATTGTTCTATTATCTACAGTTCTAAGAATGGGAGTATATTTAAATGTATCTGTCAATTCTCTCTAATAATGGATCAGTTCCTTGTAAGGTTTTAAATTTTCTACTGTGAACTCTTCAGTGAGAGTTGGTTTTCTGTAGAAGTTCTGTGATGTCCTCAACTATAAAAACATGAGAGAGAGAAAAAGAGAGAGAGAGAGAGAGAGAGAGAGAGAGAGAGTGGGGGGGGTCTTTTGGAAAGGTTGCCACTGCTATGAACCTACCAGAGAGAAGACCAACTTTTATGTTAATTTTTCAGTTTATAGGCTCTGTACTAATAATCATTTGGACTGAGTTACAGAATTAGGCTTTTGATGTCTTGTATATAACATCCTCCTTGCCAGTTTCTTTGGCTAGTAGGGAATCTTTCTAGTTCCTGTTGAACAAGCATGGAAGCCCTTGTAATTCTAGCTTTAAGCCAAAATTACACTCTGACTTTCCTGGATACCTAAACATTTGTGCCCTATGGTCCCCTCCAAATCCTCAAGCTGTTCTGTTCACCCTGTCACTTTAAATTTCCACTTCATTTTGACACCCAATACATTTCTTTTCTTGATTTTGAGCTTGGGACATGGGGAGGGTCCTCCATCCATATCCAGCAGGAGTCCACTGCTTTGGCATTTAGGGATTAAAGTTACTTCATAAATTATAGTGGGAAGACAAGTTTGATGATTCATCGCATTTTCTTTTAGAAGTCTGGCAAGTTGACAAGCAGATAGATGACTACAAGGAAAGCCAAGACAAACTTCCATGGCAAGCTGCATTCACAGGCAAAGAAACACTGAAGGATGAAAGTGGTCAAGTATGTAAAATATGTAGAAAAAGCATTTATCTCAGCACAGACTTTGCTTCTGTAAAACAAAGACTCCCTAAATATTACTCATGGGGAGGGTGTTCAAAACATAATTTAATCTTTCTTAGTCAAAATAGTAGCTATGTAAGAAAGAAAGATGATGGATGTAAGGCATATTGGAAAGTATGCCTCCATTCTAACCTTCATAAAGCTCAACCTGCGGAGAAATTTTTTGACCCTAATCAACGAGGGAAAGCCCTCCACCAAAAGCAAGTGCTTCAGAAAAGTCAGAGAAGTCAAACTGGGGAGACACTCTACAGATGTACTCAATGTGGAAAAGGGTTTATCCAGAAAGCAAACTTAGTTGTACATCAAAGAACTCACACTGGAGAGAAACCTTATGAATGCTGTGAATGTGCAAAAGCCTTCAGCCAGAAGTCAACCCTCATAGCACACCAGAGAACTCACACAGGGGAGAAGCCCTATGAATGTAATGAATGTGGGAAAACCTTTATTCAGAAGTCAACTCTGATTAAACATCAACGAACTCATACGGGAGAGAAACCATTTGTATGTGCCAAATGTCCAAAAGCCTTTAAAAGTTCATATCATCTTATTAGACATGAAAAAACACACATTAGACAAGCATTTTATAAAGGTATTAAATGTACTACATCCGGCCTTATATATCAAAGGATTCACCCAAGTGAGAAACCTGAGTGCAGTGAACATGGGAAAACCTCTGATGAGAAGCCTAGTCCCACTAAACATCAGATAACTCATACAAAAGAGAAAATTTACGAGTGTAGTAAATGTGGGAAAAGCTTCAGAGGTAAGTCACACCTCTCTGTTCATCAGAGAATTCATACAGGAGAGAAACCCTATGAATGTAGTATATGTGGGAAGACTTTCAGAGGGAAGTCACACCTCTCTGTCCATCATAGAACTCATACAGGAGAGAAACCTTATGAATGCAGAAGATGTGGGAAAGCCTTTGGGGAGAAGTCAACCCTTACTGTACATCAGAGAATCCATACAGGAGAGAAACCCTACAAATGCAACGAATGTGGGAAAGCCTTCAGTGAGAAGTCACCACTGACTAAACATCAGAGAACTCATACAGGGGAGAGACCGTATGAATGCAGTGACTGTGAAAAAGCCTTCAGTAGGAAGTCAACTCTCATAAAACATCAGAGAATTCATACGGGAGAAAAACCTTACAAATGTAGTGAATGTGGGAAGGCCTTCAGTGTGAAATCAACTCTCATTGTGCATCACAGAACTCATACAGGAGAGAAACCTTATGACTGCAGAGACTGTGGGAAAGCATTCAGTGGGAAGTCAACTCTCATTAAACATCAGAGAAGTCACACAGGTGATAAAAACCTATGAATATACTTGAGAGTGGGACAATTATACTAGTAATTATACCTCATTACATGTCAAATAATTCGTCATGGGGAGTAATCTTATAAGTATCAAGAATGTTGGAAACCCTTCATATGTTAATATTCATTTAACTTAGTAAAAGGTACAGAAGTATAATTCCAGAGGTGTCAATAAATGTGATCAATTTTTTTCACCCAGAATTCTTCACCCAGGAGTGAAAATCTGTATCTCAAATAATTCAAAAGGGCCAAAACTGAGTGTAGTGATGTGGGAAAGCCTTCAGAAAGAATGTAAATGGCACTGTTTATCAGAGTATTTATGCTGAGAAAAACTAAGAATTTAGTGAGCCATGGTGTGGTAGGTAGCTCACACCTGTAATTCCAGCACTTTTGGGAGGCCAAGGTGGGCAGATCACTTGAGCTCACAAGTTTGAGACCAGCCTGGGCAACATGGTAAAACTCTCTACAAAAAATACAAAAGTTATCTGGGTGTGGTGGTGTATGCCTGTAGTCCCAGCTACTTGGGAGGTTGAGGTAGGATGGCTTGAGGCCAGGAGGTGGAGGTTGCAGTGAGCTGAGATCACGCCACTGTACTCCAGCCTGGGTGTTACAGCCAGACCTTGTCAAATAAATAGACAAACACAAACTCTTGTTATAAATGAGAGGAATCATGCTCTATATTCTTTTTTTAATAGAGACAGAGTTTTGCTATGTTGCCCAGGCTGGTCTTGAACTCCTAGCTTCAATTGATCCTCCCACCTTTGCCTCCCACAGCACTCAGATTATAGATATGAGCCACCACACTTAGCATATTCTTTACCAAACATTTTGTGGAAAAGGTATAGAGGTGGCAAGCAAACACTCAATTATAAATTTAAGATATGTTCACTGTGGAGTAGATTATGACGATTTTTTTTTTGAGACGGAGTTTCACTCTCATTGCCCAAGTTGGAGTGCAATGGTGCAATCTCAGCTCACTCCAACCTCTGCCTCCCAGGTTCAAGCGATTCTCCTGCCTCAGCCTCCTAAGTAGGCTGGGATTTCAGGCATGCACCACCATGTCCTGCTAATTTTTTGTAGTTTTAATAGCAACAGGGTTTCACCATGTTAGCCAGGCTGGTCTCGAACTCCTGACCTCAGGTGATCTGTCCGTCTTAGCCTCTCAAAGCACTGGGAATACAAGTGTGAGCCATGGCACCCAGCCTACTATGACATTTTTAAAAGAATAGTATAAAGCATAAAATATCCTATGTGGGTTAAACTCCCAGATTATTTTCCTAAACAAATAAAAAAATTGCTTCCTTAAATAGGGTAAGAGAGGATGAGTCATCAGGATCCCTGAAACAAAGATCTCAAACAGGAGACCTTACATATATTATTCATCAATATCTTCAGTGCAAAAACAAAGCCATTACAGAAAGGGTGTATAGTAAGTTTTTACATACTTTCCTTAGGAACAGTACTTACAACTTAAAATTCTCCATGTTTTAAGAAAGAGTAATTTTGTGGTGAAGCAATAGAAGATTTAAAAATTTCAGAGCATCTTCCATAAGAGCAGTATTATTTAAAGTAGTGAAAAAATAAGACAATTTAATATCCAGTGATAGCTGATTAAAAATTGATATGTCAATTAGGTGAAATAATATGCACCAATTAAGACTATTTGCAAATTTGGGAAAATGTTCATGGTAAATCATTACATAAAAAATATACAAAAATATACCATATGATTGATATTGTAAAAACATAAAGAAAGTATATGAACCATTATATCAGTGATTCTGGGTGGTTGGCTTATAAAAATTTTGAGATGAGTAAAGTTATATGCACATGTATGTATAAGTATAAATTTGTATTTCATCTATTTTAGGTGAGTATATGTGTGTGTATAAACACATGGAACGAAAAGCTAGGTACATCTGTGTAGTGTGGGTGGGGGGAGCTAGGAAAGAAATACACCTAATTCTTAAGTAAATTGGCATTTGAGTGTGGAGATTATTGATGCATAAAAAAGTTTTTGGATGTAGTCCCCAGAAATCACCAATAAAGCATATCATTTAAAGTGTATATTATGCATGTTTATTTTCTTTTCCCATCCATTTTCCCACTCAGCTTTGTCTTTAATATGTATCATAATTCTCTTCTTAAAATGATCCCATTTTCATATATGTATACATAGTGCCATTTGTTTTCCATATGATTAAGTTTACAGTTTTGAGAGCATACGTGGTTGACCCTTGAACAACATGGGTTTGAACTGTGTTTGTCCATTTATATGTGGATTTTCTTCCACATGTGCCACCACTGAAACAGCAAGATCAACCCCTCTTCCTCCTCCTCCTCAGCCTATCCAACATGAAGATGATGAGGATGAAAACTTCTTATGATCCACTTCACTGAATGAATAGTAAATATAAGAATGCATACATAATAACACAAAATGTGTTAATGGACTGTATACATTATCAGTAAGGCTTCTGGTCAACAGTAGGCTATTAGTAGTCAAATTTGGGGGATTCTTAAGTTATATGCAGATATTTTACTGCTGGGAGGTCAGTGCCCATAATCCCATGTTCCAGAGTCAATAATATTTTGCATCTTGAGAGTAGATAGCCTATAATTTTTGGAGGCAGGGGCTCTCAGTATGTTGCTCAGGCTGGTCTCAAATTCCTGGACTCAAGCAGTCCTCCTGCTCAGCCTCCCAAGTAGCTGGGAATACAGTATCCTATGATTTTGATAATATCTGTATGTGATTTTCTGACAAAACTAAGCATCTCCATCGCTTTTTACTCTGTAACCACCAAATCCTATGACAGTAAGTTACTAGTTAACAAATTTTACAAGTGAGAGATAAACGGAATGTTTAAATGTTCAATTAATGAGGCAAAATGAACTTCTGAAGAAAGCTCTTTTCACTGTGGTATTTGTGAGTGCTGCTGAATGCTGGTATTCCCTCTTGTCCCTGTCCCTTTGTTAGCAGTTGTGGCAGACACCCTAGATGACCCCCAGTGATTAATGCCCTATATAATATCTTCCCTGAAGGTGGGCAGAAGTGAGACTGCTTCTAGCCAACAGACTATGGCAAAGGTGATGGTATGTCACTCCCATGACTACATTGTATTATATAAGACAGTCTTAGCAGACTGGAGAGAGATTTTCCTTGCTGGTTTGATGAAGTAAACAGCCATATTGAAGAAGCCTATGTAGCAAGAGACTGCAGCTGACTGATAGTACCTGAGGGAGCCCTGAGCTAAGACAATGGGATTTGAATGGAAAGATCCTGGTGATAAGACAAGTGAAGAGAAACAAGTCCAGTAGACCAAGCAACTTTTCCCCGCAAGGAATATACTAACTGGTAAATGGCTTGGGATAGATTTGGAAATTCACAGCAGCCAGGTGCAGAGCTTTCAGTAGAAAATTATGTGCCAAGGAAATCAAACTTGAAGTTCAGATTCCACCAGGGATGATGGCCCTTGTTAAGTAACAGAGGCTTGTTGGACCCTCTGAAAGTCTTTACCTAGGAATTAGGAGTAAATATAGACCAGATATTAAGATTGATACCTCACCTTGAATGAGCTCACTAACTGAATTCAGGTGATTTACTCCTACTGTAATTGCCTTCAGAAACTGAAGCTTGGCTGTGTGTGGTGGCTCATGCCTGTAATCCCAGGACTTTGGGAGGCCAATGTGGGAGAATTACTTGAGGCCAGGAGTTCAAAACCAGCCTCACAACATAGTGAGACCTTGTATCTACAATAAATAAAAAACTACCGAGGTGTGGTGGCTCATGCCTGTAGTCTCAGCTACTCAGCAGAGTGAGGGGGAGGACTGCTTGAGCCCAGGAGTTCAAGGCTGCAGTGAACCATGATTGTGCCACTGCACTCCAGCCTGGCTAACAGAGCAAGACACTGTCTCTAAAACAAAAAAAGAAACTAAAGCTCATCTAGAACTTGTATAATTTCTCATGCACAATGGCATTCAATCAAAAATTGCCAGGTATACCCACAGTCAGAAGAAATACATGGATAGTAGAAGCAGGCCCACAGGCCTTTCAGATATAAAAGTTATGAATCATGGATTCTAAAATAACTGAATAATATGGTCAAGGAAATATTTAAGATGCATAAGAAAATTAATTATTTTCAATAATCACTTGTGCTTACTTGAAAATGTTCCTGGAGTGTTTCTAATTGTCCTTTATTGTTTGTCTGGGTTCTCAAATACATCTCCATCTAATTTATGGAATTTCCTTTTTCTTTGGCATTACAATTCTGGATAGTTATTAACTTTGAGGGGTGGAACTGGATTGGAGAAAAGGTATTGGCTCTATGACAAGCTAGAAACTTCTTCTCTAAAGAAAAGTTATCTGCAGAGGATGATATTGCTTTGCTTCTGATATGCTTTGTGTCCCCACCCAAATCTCATCTTGAATTGTATCTCCCACAATTCCCACGTGTTGTAGGGGGGACCCAGTGGGAGGTAATTGCATCATGGGGTCCAGTCTTTCTCATGCAGTTCTCGTGATAGTGAATAAGTCTCACAAGATCTGATGGTTTTCAAAATGGCCGTTTCCCTGCACAAGCACTCTCTCTTTGCCTGCTGCCATCCGTGTAAGAGGTGACTTGTTCCTCCTCGCCTTCCACCATGATTGTGAGGCAACCCCAGCCACATGGAACTGTAAGTCCATTAAACCTCTTTCTTTTGTAAATTGCTCAGTCTCGGGTATGTCTTTATCAGCAGCATGAAAATGGACTAATACAGCTTCTAAATCCTAATGAATTGTACTATGACTCACATAGGGACTTTCCAAGGGCTTCATACAACATTTCTATCTGGCACTGACACGTCAGCTCCATATTATATGCTAGGTCATATGGCTCAAGAGACAGTGTGCATGACAGATCAGGTCTGTTTAAAAGTTATTCTTGCTCTGGGCCACAGCAAAAATTGGCAGTTTTGTGGGTTAGTCAGTAAATGGACTGTAGCAGCATGACAAAATGAGGTTTATGGTGCCTAACACAAGGAGTGATTTCTCAAAAGTAGTGTAATTCTCCATTGCAGATTTAATGGCCTTGCTCCAAAATCCCAGGGATGCTATCAACACTTCATTTTTTGCACCCCTGACACCTCCACCCCAAAGTAAGGCAAATCATATGATCTATGCAACAAGGCTGTGTGTACCACAGCCTGGACTCACTGTAGACCCTTTCTTGCTCTAGTTCCCACTCAAAGCTGGTAGCCTTCTGTGTCACCTGGTATATGGGCCAGAGAAGCACTTCTAGATGTGTATGTTACCTTTAGATCCCAAGGAGGCTTAACATGTGCTGTACTTCTCTTTTGCAAAATTTAACTTGGTGTGGTTGAGCTTGTGGTAGTCTACAGTCATTCTGTAGGATCCATCTGGTTTTTGAAAAGACCAGAATGATGAATTAAACAGAAATATAATAGGAACCACCATTCATTCATCATTTAGGTCTTTAATGGTGACACTGTTATCCTCTAGAGTGCAATATTGTTTTAAATTTACCATCTTGACCAGGACACCATTATTGTCTGGACCCAGTAAGTCCTCACACTGATAGGAGGGCCATGATGATGCTTTCAGTGTCTGTGTATTGATGTCAACTTTGAAAGCTATGTCTGATAGTCCTAAAAATTTCTTGGTATTTCCTTTCCCAGATGTATCATCCCCCAAATAAATGGCCACAAGTTACTTTGGGGAGACTGGGGTAAGCATTATAATATATGCCTGTCACAAAACTATAGGGTTCTTCCTCTGAGGCACATGGGCAACTGTACACAAATGGTTCTAGATGTGAAGATTGGCTCACGTCTGGGAACTGAGCAGGGAACACTCATATTTTAATGAAGTAGTTGTCTTCAGACACCTGCTCTTTGAATCTTTCCTTTTTCTGATTGTAATAGTAAATAGCTGCCCTATTGGGTACCCAACAATTTAACTCTTAGGAATGCCAGCCTTATCAGCAGAACTGACACAACTGAGAAAAGAATTAATGTGCTTGAGGCTGAGCATGGTAGCTCATGCCTGTAAACCCAGCACTTTGGGAGGCTAAGGGAGGAGGATCACTTGAGGCAAGGAGTTTGAGACTCAGCCTGGGCAACAAAGTGAGAACCCATCTCTACACACACACACTCCCAGTTACTTGGGTGGCTGAGGTGGGAGGATTGCTTAGGCCCAGGTGTTGGAGGCTGCAGTGAGCTATGGTCGTGCCACTTAGGACCCTGTCTGTAAAAAAAAAAAAAATTTTAAGAATAGAATTAATGAGCTTGAGAGTAAGCATTTAGGCTTTCAGTATCTAATATGATGTTGGCTATGGCTTTTTGTAGATGCTGTTTAACAGACTGAGGAATTTCCCTTCTATTCCTAGTTTACTGAGAGGTGGTTTTTTTTTTCTTTCATGAATATATATAAAAATGCTAATTTTGCCAGGTGATTTTGCTGCAACCATTGTGATGATCATGGTTTATTTCTTTTTCTTAAAACAGCACCTCACTTTGTTGCCCAGGCTGGAGTGCAGTGGTGCAACTGTGGCTCACTGCAGCCTTGACCTCCTGGGCTCAAGCAATCCTCCTACATCAGCCTCCCAAGTAGCTGGGACTACAAGCATGCACCACCACACATGGCTAATATTTTAACTTTTTGTAGAGACAGACTCTCCCTACGTCGCCCAGGCTGGTTTTGAACTCCTGGACTCAAGCAGTCCTCCCACCTCAGCCTCCTGAGTAGCTGGGACTACAGGGATTCACCACCACACCAGGCTAGTTTTTAATTTTTTGTAGATATGGGATCTCACTATGTTACCCAGGCTAGTCTTGAATTCCTTCACTCAAGCAATCCTCCTCTAAATCCTCCCAAAGTGCTATGATTACAGGTGTGAGCCACCGTGTCTGGCCTGCCTTCATTTCTGAATATTTTTCTGAATTCTATATGAACAATTTAGGTTTTTCTTTCTGCATTTTAAAGCTTTCATTCATTTGTATTTTGGCTTGCATCATTTCTGACATGAAGTTACCTTCCATTCCTCATGTCATCACCTTTCCTTT